ACACACACACACACACACACACACACACACACACACACACACACACACACACACACACACACACACACACACACACACACACCTGCAGGTGATGGTGGGGCAGTAAAAAGTGAGAAATGAGCAGCGGCAGCAGTTTTCAGGTGAGCAGCACAAAAGGAACTTAAATACACCTGGTGCTGGTGGAGGGAAGAAATACTGTGTAGAATTTACTGCAATTATATCAATAATTAAAAACTTTGATTGAATACACTCAAATTAAATCCATATCTGTTCTAAAATGACTTAGTTACACTGCACGCTGGTTGTGTTGTGGTGGTGGTATAAGTTGCAGTAGCAGCAGTAGTGTTAATTATGGCAGTACTACTGTTAGTAATATTCACATTATATGCAGTGATGGTAGAAATAGCAGTAGTGGGTCATAGTAATTATTAGAAATATTATCAAATGCACTAAAAGGATGTAAAACAATAATTTCTCTCTCTCTCTGGACTCCAGCTCCCATCAGCCCTCAGTGGAGGCGTGGCCAGAGATGATGTTGACAGCAGAAGGGACTGACGGTCATTGGTTGGTTCGTCAGGGAGGTGTCAGTCAAGACTCAGTGCTCCGCCAGCTGCTGGGGAAGGAGGCGTCAGACTCGCTGTGTCCCAGGGAGAGGCTGCCTCCTGCTGGGGGCCTGAGCAGAGAGGGCCCCGCCGGCCCTGGGGCCCCCGGGGCCCGCAGGACAGGGCTGGTGGAGAGGAGAGAGCTCAAACTAGCGAGACTCAAACAGATCATGCAGCGCTCTCTCAGCGAGTCTGATTCGGATGGTTATCCCCCAGAGGAAGGTAAAAATCAAGGAGCCCCGCCCTCAAACACTGTGCGCCCTGATAGGCCATCACACCTGCCAATCACAGAGGAGGAGCCGGTGTCAAATCACCTTAATTCGATGATGAGGAAGCACCTCCCCTCCTCTTCCTCCTCCACAACTGAGAGGAAGCAGGCGTTTTCTCTCAGTGGTTCAAAGTCAGTGGACAGTATCGGTTACAATCCCTCCCCCACCTCCAGCGACCCCGAGGCCGCAGACGCCAAAACACCAGACGCTTCCGTCGACCTGCAGGACGCCGCCAACGGCCAGAAAGTCGCCACCAGCCCCAAGAGTGCACTGAAGTCCCCCTCGTCCCGCAGGAAGACGTCCCAGAACCTTAAACTGAGGGTGACCTTTGACGAGCAGGTCCACAAGAGCTCCACTCAGGAGGCGGAGCCAACCAAAGGGCATCATGGGAAGGAGAGGACTTCAACAGGAGGCTCTGAGAGCAAGCGGCCGTTTGGGGCGTTCCGCTCCATCATGGAGACGCTGAGTGGAAACACAAATCACAACAACAACAACAACAGTGGTGGTCAGTCGGGCGCTTCCTCTCAGAACTCACCCGGCAGGAAGTCAGAGAGTAAGAGCGGCTCAGGAGGAGCGAGAGTGAAGAGCAGAACCAGCAACGTTTAACCAGCCGCTGCCTGGGGACGGCGCCGAGCACAGAGCCAATCACAGACGAGAAAACAGACCGAGAGGCGGCGAACATGAGAAACTTCATCAGCACGTTCAAACATCTTCGGTTCACCTGTGGCTGCAGTGATGTCATCGGTGATGTCATTAGTGATGTCAATAATGATGACATCACCGATGATGACATCACCAGTGATGTTCTTTACCTCACACAGGTGAAAAGACGAGAAGTGAAACTGTCTCAGTTCAGATTTAAATCGATGCTGTGACTGAATCGCTGCAGAGCGACGGAGCAGAAGTTCAAACGAGCGACGGTTGTGTTTTTATAAACATTCAGTATTAATCAGCGGAAACGTTTCATATCACACTTTATTTAGCTTCTTTCACATTTGAGTATCGGACTACAAACATTCCCAGAGTTCAGTCTGCTAAAAGAAAACTTTAATCTTTTCATCAGCAGATTAAAAGTGTCTCTGAGTCACGCTCATGATGAACCTATGAATTATTAATATTTATGTTGATGCACCGTTATATGTTATGTGATTATTTTAATGTGGTTATAATCATGCACGTTGTTTACGTGCACCAGCACAAATACTTTTAAAACCACTGTATATGAACTCTAGTAGTATTTAATTTTTTGTACGTTATATTCCACACGTTTTTGTACGGTCAGTGTTTATTATCTATGCAGTATTTCCTGAAGTAGACGTTAGTCGTGTGATGTGTGTTTCAGACGTGAAGGTAAAAGGATGCACCTTTGACGGAGGCCGGACGACTCAGTCCAGATGTTCAGTTGAGCTAAAAGTTCAAAATACTGCATTTCTTTGTTCACACTAAAAGTTATGATGGTTTCATAAAAGGGTTTGTTTTAGAAACACTTCATTTTCCAGGTCTGAGAAGTTTCTCATAATTTCCAGTTTCCTGGAGAAAAAAACGAATTGAAGTGAGACACAGACGGTTGCTGGTGAAACTTTGAGTCGTGTGGACGTGAACGTGTCTAATGTTTCCAGGAGCTTCTAAAGTTTATATTTGTTTTTATTGTGAACAGGAGGTGATTCAATCCATCATGTTCACACAAAACAGTGATAGAATAAAACTGTGATGTGTGTGAGCGCCCTCTGCTGGATCACAAGGTAAATTACTTCAGTCTGTTAAACTAAAAACTGTTGAACTGGTTAAAATATCAAGTTTCCCCCAAAATTTATAGAAATATATATAAAAAACTACTGAGTAAATATTTCTCAAAACCAACAGTTAATTAAAATCCCACCATAACGTCGTCTCCATGTTTCTGATCATTTCAACTAAATTACATTTGTTTTTTTGTCAGAAACTTTCTGGGAAAGTTGGTAAAATACAGAAAGTAAAAGAAGGTTGGAACTTCTTCACACGCAGGAAAAGGTTTCGCCTGAATCGTCTCAGATCTTCGTCATTGTTGGACAATGTTTCTGTGTGTGTGTGTGTGTGTGTGTTGATGAGATTGTTTTTGAAATGCAGTTTTAGTAGAAGAGTCGTCGTGGTAACATCAGGACGAGGGAGGAGCTGGACGTCCGCAACGTGTCGGATGATGTTTACTCAAAAAAACAAAATATCAGTGAATGTTGGAAAACTCTTTTTTTTATTAACCTGTGTACAGAGACGGACGACTGATTTTCAGTCCTGTATTTAAACTAAAGACTGAAGACAAACTGAAATAAACTGATGTCTGGACTTCACACGCTGTCAAGTCATTTTCTTCAGCTTTAGTTTTCAATGTTTTACTGTTTCATTTTAATTTCAATATTATTTTTATGTATTTTTAAACTCCAATAAGAATTTAGCAGTATTAAAAATATATAGCTTGAAAGAATCTTTATTTTTATTTATAATATTATTTGATTCAATGAAAAATAACATGAAAGAAGTTCACTTTAAAAATACATTGACAAATTTATTGTAAATTTCACTTTGTGTTATTTAATGAAACTTTGAGATTCAAGTGTAAAATTCAACATGTTCAGAAAACGTCATTTTCCTCCGACTGTTGCTGCAGCTCCTCTTTTCAGCCTCTGTCTCAAACTGCACAGGAGACAATCCACTTCCTGTTTACATCACACGACTAGTGAACGTGATGGGTCATGTGATGTAAACAGGAAATAGAGTAAAGTTTTCAGGTGTTAGTTTTGAAGCTTATCATAATTTTTGTGTTTGACTTAAACATCGTCGTTAAACAGGAAGACGTGAATGTTCACGTCGTCTTCAGATCGAAAGTAAATCCTGAAGCAGAGAAATTGATTCGTTCTGAAGTTTAACATCAAGTTTAGCAAACTTCTTGAAAAATGAGTCTGTCTTTACTTCCACTGAGACCTCGTCCAACACGGTCAGAGTCCGTCCTCAGGTCCCTGGACCTGCTTTTGACCACAGCTGATCAAGATGGATGTCGTGTGCGAATTGTGCTCTCTGGTCATTTAATGGACGAAACCAAACGGAGCGTGTATTTATTTCATCGCTTCAGCTGCATCAGAAACAGTCACTTAACGCAGCAGGATTTATGTTGTTTGTGAAGCAAATTGGCTTTTGATGGTTCCCACGCAGGGTCGACCGCTTCCCCACGGAGCCTAATGGGGTTTGTTGTAATCGTGCCCCTCAATCATCGCCGCGAATATGAAACATGAGCCTCCGCCTGACAATTAGCAAAACAACTCCGAGTGAGACGAGGACGTGAAATGTGAGGAACGCAGGATTTATCAGGTTCTCAAACGACGCCGGTTCATGGAACAAAAAACAAAAGCTATTTATTTTCTGTTTCTCTCTTTCTCCTCTCGCTCTTTTTCTTGGAGGGGGAGTTAAACTGATAAATTAGACCTCATTTATTGGACAACACTTTCAGTCGATACCCAGGGGCCCCCGCTCTGCGGCCTGACGAGGCTCCAGAGCCGCTAATTGGTTCGCTCTGTGTGGATGGAGAGGGTGTTTGGTGGAGGGGGGGGGTGTTTAAAGGGGGCGGGCGGGGCAACCAGGACGTGTTGTGTGTTTGGCCGGAGCTGACGCCCACACACACACACACACACACACACACACAAACACACAGGAACAGTTGTCTCGCGGCGGACGTCCACGGCGCACGCCACGAAAACAGACGAGACAAGCGCTTGATTTGACAGCCGGGGTGGAGGGGTGGAGCGGTGGAGGGGTGGAGGAGTCATGTATAGATTTTTGTGTCTGTTGTTTTGGCTTATTTGTGTGCTTCTTTTACTCAGTCAATCAAATTTAATTGACACCGCTGGGCTGGGGCCGGGGGCCCCGCGCCACGCTGGGATGACAGGCCTTTAATGCCAACGAGAGGAGAGGAGGTTCCTCTGCCTGTGAAGGACGGAGGGGGCCGCGGTGAGAGGGCGGGGCCACGGGGACAATTCCTCCACCCGTCAACAGCATTAATTGATGTAACGACAGCGATGATGGATACTGATAAATACAACCTTTAGGAAAAAAGCTAATTAGACGGCGTCCTGCTCCAAACGCCACCGCTGGTTCCAGGCAGGATGATAAACACCATTCGTCTTCGGCCGAGGACGTTGGACGGACATGACGTCCTCATTCACATTCTGATCAAACCCAGCATTTGCATTTTGGCCTCATCAAGACGATGATGGAAGTCAGGACGAGGTGGGAGGACCCGAACGACGGTGAACGAAACGTGTCGGTCATCACTTTGTTGTTCAAACCAGAGACTGTAAATAAAGATGGACGACATGACAGTGCCCACAAGCCAAAACATCTTTATCGCCCCCTGGAGGCTTGCTGTAGTTTAGTTAAGAATCCCTGCCTCCTCCATGTTAGCAGATGGGACATGGACCAAACTAAAAAAATGTTTTTTCTTCTATTTATCTTGAAGAAAAGTTGAATCTCAATTGATTTCACTGAATCTCTTGTCTTTCTTTTACATGTTTTAAAAAACTAAACAAAGTTTGACTTAAAATTTGAGCTTTTATTTTCTGTCAGAAAACAGGAAACAGTTTCTCAATCTCAAAATTCTCGTTTTGAATTTTTGTCAAACTTTCATCCATCGATTCAAACTTTCACAGCGACAGAATTTCACTCAGCGATTTTGCCACTTTTATCTTTTCAGACGAAGGTTTTTCAAAAGATTCAATCAGACAATTCTGTGTAAAACTTTTTATCACATGATGTTTTCTCACGTCTGTTTGTTTGTTTGTTTGTTTACAATCACTCTGGATCTGAATAACAAACAGATTCATTCTGCGGCAAGTTTTAATGTCCTACACTGAACTCATTGTTTCCCACAATGCATCGAGAAAAGTGATAATTACCATCATGCATTCATGGTTCTACTCGTTTTTCTCGTGAGGAATCAAATAAACAGGTTTATATTTGCAGGTGTTTTCACAGACTGATCTTAGTTTATGTTCTTTATCTGAGTTGTGTCTGAGTTCTATGTAGTGAGTTCTATGTGGTGAGTTCTATGTAGTGAGTTCTATGTGGTGAGTTCTATTTAGTGAGTTCTATGTAGTGAGTTCTATGTAGCCAGTTCTATGTGG